CAGACCTTGGGCATGTGCAGGAACCCCACCGCGCATGCCCAGAGGGTAGGGCGCGGACATCCTGCCAGTCCCTTCGAACCGCCGCAAATCAACCCCTATTGAAAATGTAGAAGCTGACAGAAGCGGGGAAGGAGGGCAGGTGGTGTTACAGGTAAGCAACCTGTTTATCTTCGACGTGGTCTCTGTGCTTCACACCCATGGGAGATTAGCGAGCAGTGGCCTACCTGGAGGATGGTGCTGGCAGGTCCTTACTGCGTCGCCGAAGATAGAATGTGACGTCCCATGTTGGTATTAGAGTTCTTACGGACGTCCAGGGCGTAATGCCTCATGAAGGTGTTAGGCGTGGCCCGGGTAGCAGCCTTGCAGATGTCCGTCAGGGGTACACCCTGGAGGAAGGCAGTGGAAGCCGCAACAGCCCAGGTTGAATGGGTCTTGATGGGGCCAGGCAACGGCTGCTTTGCAATCAAGTAGCAGAGGTGGATGAGACCCGCAATCCACTTTGAGAGGCATTGAGCCGTGATGCAAGTCCCCAGCCTCGCTGGTGCGTATGAGACAAACAGTTGGGAGTCACATCTCATTGGGCGGGTTCTGTTGAGGTAGAACAGTACTGCCCTTTTGACATCCAAGGTATGTAACAGTCTGTCCTCTGGGGATTTCGGAGCGGGGAAGAAATCCGGGAGGAAGACCTCTGCCTGTAGGTGGAACTCTGACACTACCTTTGGCAGGAACGAAATGTCAAGGACGAGGTGGACAAGAATGACAAATAAGGTGTGTCATGCTGGAAAGCCAGTATTTCTCCAACTCGCCTTGCAGAGCTGATGGCCACTACAAAGCCCGTCTTCCAAGACAGGAATTTCATATCGCAAGTTGCGAGTGGCTCAAAGGGTTTCCTCGTAAGTTGACGAAGGACTAGAGGAAGATCCTAGGGAGCGACACGAGTCTTGACAGGAGGGTAGAGGTGTAACAAAACTTTGAGCGCGGTGGTATTGTCCGTGAGGACCGTAATACATTTCCCTTTGATTATTGGTAGGAAACTCGTGACCGCGAACTGAATTGCGAGCAGTTCCAGAAGTTTATGTGTCGACCTTGCTCGTGGGTGTTCCACTTGCCCCCGACGCACAGACCCATCATGTGTGCACCCCATCCCGACAGGGAAGCATCCGTGGTCAGGGTGACGGAGGGTGGAAAGGTGCTCCCTGGAAGGGACAGTCCACCAAAGTAACGAGTCTCGTGTGTTGGGAGGGGGGGATAGGACGACAGTGTGAGCATTGTTCGCTGGGTTGTAATTCCAGATGAGTGCTCTACAATTCAATTTTAAAACTTCATCACCTAGGGAAGAACAGAATTTATAATGGTAGGACCTTCACGCAGTAGGTTTCCTGGCATTTAGTAGAACATTGGCTACGCGGGTCGAAAAACCTTTGACGTTATTCTCCACGCCGTCAATTTCAAGCGTGGTACGTCGTGATGTAGGAGAGGGGAGTCTGACAAGAAGAGGAGGTCCTGTACCGGAAGGAATTGGTGGTACATTCCCCTTGACAACTCAAGGACCGTGGAGAACTATGGTTGTTTCAGCCACCACGGTGTTATCAACAAGCAGTCCGCTCCGTCTCGGATGATCTTGCGTACCACTCTCAGAAGTAGGGGTAAAGGAGGGAAAAGGTACACAAGGCCTGAGGACCAGGGAAGAATGAGACCGTCTCCGAG